AAAAGATTCCAGATAACCAGAAGATGATCATGGACACTCTAGTATAGCACAGGTCGGTTATTGAGGAGTTGACCAAGGAAGTGAAGAAGATGAGGAAGTCCCAGGCAAGCAAGAGACCAGTTGATAAGCTTAGGAAGGAGGTGACCCGACTTGCGACATTTGGGGATTTTCCATTTGACATGTTACTTGACCCAGTCCAGTCCTCCCCAGTTCCATCTGCACTGGTTGCACTAACTGGCTTGTTTGATGAGCCATGCTTTGCTACCGACACTGCTGAGGTGGTGCGTGCGATGTTTGCCACTCCTGCCACGCCCAGATATGATGATGATGAGATACAGTTGGCTGACCCAATAGGAGATGATGTTGTTGGGGACATTGATATGTCCAAGGATGTTTAGGGAGTTTTCTTCGCCCTCTCTCTTTTAACTCTTATTTTGTTAAGCATTAGGGACAATGCTTACTTTTATTCAGGGAAGGGGGGTGGACTTTATTTGATTGACATATTTGGATACATTCAGACTGTAATAATTGGATAATTCTGTTTCTGTTACGATTTTTAGCTTATCTATCTTTAGTAGTTATTGTTCATTAGCTTCTTAATTTTTCACTTTAGTTTTTGTTTTGTTAATAACTTATTTTTATGTTTTTCGTAGTAGTATGAATAATAAGCCTTTGGTTTTCTTAACGCCACGTTTCTTTCCAAAGGTAGTCTTGTGTGAATCGGGTGACTCGTCCCGAAGATGGATAGCGTGACAACCTTCTTAAGGGAATGAGCCTGTTTGTGTTTAGGTAATATTAATAGTAAGAGTAAGGAATAAAAGGCCTAATCAAGTCCTTCCCGAAATTGAAAAAGAGTTATTCATGTTTCATTTAGTACCAACACATTTAACTACGTGTTTATGGTTCGAAACAGGGTTTTTGAATGAAAATAGTTCTAGTTAGTGACTTTGAGACTCTTGAGTTGACTTTGGTAATCATCGAGTGCTTTGTTGGACCATAGTGATCTTTAACTTGATTGTGGTCGTTGTAGGCTCTTGACTCTATCCTCTTTTACGGTCTAGTTGCGTGAGGGGTGAGGTGATTTGTTGCTAGTCCAAGTACCTGTGCAAAAGGTCTAGAACTTTCCCCGAATATGCTTCAAGGAAAAATCCTAAGTTTGCTTGGTTTGGGAAATGATTGTAGGCTTTTCTTGGTCAGTTTGAGCTTCTTTAGCCAAACAATATTGTTATACCTAGTCAACCCCCTTTGAGTTGAGCCTTTAGCTTTTCTCGTTTGATAACCATGATATAAGCCTTTACCCTTTTTGTTATGATCCTCTCTTAGCACCCGGACCTTCCGTAACACTCTTGTGAAATAAGTGGCTTAAAGCATAAGTTCGGGAGGGGGGAGAGTTGAGGAATTTGATAGAGGTATCAAGGCACCAAAAAGAGAAAAGAAATGATCTCTATGGAAAGAGAAGGCAAGAAAAGAAAAAGAACAAAAAGAAAATGCAAGAAAGAAAATAAAAGGAAAGGTTGATGGAATCAATAAGAGGTAACTATCCCTAACTTGAACACCAAGGGAGAAAAAGAATGAAATAAGCAAGAAAGAGTGATGTCAAGTCTCTCTAATCCCTAGGAAAAAGAGAATGCCTCTAAGATGATAAATGTGAGCCAAGAAATGAAAATGTGGAGTGCTTAAGAAAAGCCTTAATTTTGGACCGAGTGAGCTTACATTACAAAAGCCTACCCAATCCAAAAGCCTTCATTACAACCCGAAAGAAGTCCTACTTGATTTTGGACCGAGTGAGCTTACATTAGTGGTGATCTACATGAGGGGCAAGCCTATGGTACTTGAAGTCGTACTTGTGACATTCTTTTGTGAGAGAAGAGTGAGCATTTCATTGATCTTAAGATTGAGTGCCAACTTTTGAAGTGAGCTTGGCAAATGGAAGGTAGAGGAGGAAGAATTTGGAGTCTACTATGATTTGCATGATAGAACAAGATTCCTTGATGAGTAAAGTCAATTTTTGAAGCTCAAATGTCACATTAGAACTATAAGTGCATGAGATGTTATTTGTCACCGTGTTGAGAATACATGAGAAGCATGGGTAATTGTTGGTCCCAACTGAGTATGAATGGCTCACCATTGAATCTCTTAAATGACCTTTCACTCTAATGAGGTGGGGAACTAATCTATTTGCTTGAGAATAAGCAAAGATTTAAGTTTGGGGGAGTTGATAAGTGGGAAATTGGATCACTTATTAGTACATTTTTACTTCAATTCTAGTCCGAAAATGTTGATTTATGTTCCTAAAACTAATGAAAGTGTGCAAATTGCAGGAATGTTGGAGAATTGCACTATAATGAAGAAATCTAACTCAAAAAGAGTGTTCCGACTCTTAAGGCAAGAAGGAACACAACAGACCTAAAAAGTGTGGTCCGCAAAAGAAAGCGCAGACCGCAAAATTTTCTCTGCGGCCGCAGAACTGGTGTGAAGCTCAGAAGTCGATTAAAAAAGAAGTGCGGACCGATCACAATTTGTGCGTCCGTTTCAAAAAGTTCAGAGAGTTTGCAAAATGACCAAATCTGAAGCCTTGCTAGAAGTGCGGACTGCACATGGAATTGTGCGGCCGCAGAAGCTGAAGTGCAGCCGCAGATCAACTTGTGCAGCTGCAGAATCCTTCAACCTGCAGACTCAAGCAAAATGCGGACCGCACACATGAAATTTTGCGGTCGCAGAACCTCCCATAAGGTATTTTTGTCAGTGAAGTTTGGGCTACTATAAATAGTCGGGAATAACTTTTTTAGGTCAAGTTTTGTAATCTTTTAAGCAGTAGCCATTGTAGTTTACCTCTTTTGGTAATTTCTGGCCAATTTGGGTTAAAAAAAAAACACAATAGTTTATCATTTTAATTTTACATTATAACTTTAATTAGTGTTTCTTCTTTATTTTCTTCAACTTCTACTATGAATAGCTAGACATTTACTAGGGTTGTCACCCAACCCTAGTGTGTAAACCTTATGGGTAGTTAATCTAATGCTTGTTTATGATTTGGTATTTGTTATTTAGCCTTGTTCATGCTTTAATTTTAGAATTAATGGTTGCAAACATTGATTCATGCATTTTGACTTGGTTACTTGAGAAAGAGAGACCTAGTCTAGAAAAATTGGCTAACAAGAAATTGTGCTAGTTAAGCTTTTGATTATCCTAATTAAAGGGTTTGAACTAGAGATAGAAAAACCCGACTTAAGCTCATATCAACTATTTGGTTTGATACTCATTTGGGCTTGAGAAAGTCAAATTGGGCAAATCACTCTATGACCGAGAGGTATTGAGTGGGTAATTTAGAGTTGAGAGTTATTATACACCCCAATCACCAAAACAAGTGTTAACATAATTAACCCATTTTGCTAGCACCTAGGCGAAGGTTACATCCCTAGGCATTTTACCAATTTGAAAACAACCAAAAACAATTGCTAGTAAATTTCTAGTTTCATTTCTCTAGTTAATCATCGATAGTGCAGTTCATAGAAGTAAATTGCAAAACCGACTTGATTGGAAGTGTATTTAGGCTATTTCTTGTATACGCATCAAGTGTACACTCTAACACCCATTCTTAGTTCCCTGAGAAAATCGACCCCGACTCATAGTTGGGTACTATTCTTCCAACGACCTCTTCCACTCATTGTTGAGTGTGGATTGGGAGTGGATCAGCATGCGCCAGCACCGACATAAATTGCCCACCCGATGGGAATTAGGGCGAAGTCTGGGCGGTCTATGCCTTTTTAACATGCAGCACACCAACTTGAAGTTTGATTTGAAAATCTCTCTTTACCTTCACAAAACTTTTCGCGCCCTTCTCGTAGTTTTGACTTGCTCTTAGGCTACCGTTGACCGGCTCCGCGAGACCATTTCGGTCTACACACACATAGCTAAGCGCTATCGGGCGGAGCTTTCTCAATCCAAGCTAACTAATAGAAGAAATGAGAAGAAAGCAGTGGCCTATAAGTTATCATTGCCCTCTCTTGTTGCTATCCATCCTACCTTCTACGAATCCCAGCTCAAGCTTTGCCATAAGGTGCTAGAACCTTTTAATCACCCCCAGTGGTGGACCTTACTAGTCCCTATTATGTTGAACTACAGAACATATTGGAAAGGAGAATGATCAAAAAGGGAAACAAGGTAGTTCCTCAGCTTCTGATTCACCGGAAGAACATGCCAAAGGAACAAGCTACTTGGGAAGACTATCATGTACTGAAGACCAGGTTTCTAGCTTTCTTCCTTGAGGACGAGGTTTCAAGAGGAGAGAAATGATGCAAAATCAAGTTTGAGAATAGAAGAGAGCTGATCGTGGTTGGGCTCAGCTTCTGGAGGAGTACCTAGTTAGTGCGTTAAAAAAAAGTATTGTTAAGTTACAATTTAGTCCTCAATAATTTTTAGTAGAAGTTTATGTATTTACGCATTCCTCTTGTTAATTTCCTGGGATGTCACCATCTAGTCCCTAATCGAATTTGCTTTATAGTCTTGTACTAAATCCTTATCCATTTTGCTCTCTAGGGTGATTCAGCTAGAGTTTGAACGGTATAAATAGTAACTATTCTCCTTTTCACTATTTTTATGAATCAAAAGTATCTCTTAACTGTAATTTAGTCAGTTTAGTTAGCTTTTTCTCTACTTTTTACTATTTGATCCATTTTTGCTCGATTCATTCTGCAACATTCAGGCACTAGTTTCACACACGTCCAAATAAGAACATGCAAACTGAAAAATGGATAGAAAAAAAAAAAACCCCTCTGTCAACCCTACATTTAAGAGTGTTTAGTATTACATACCCTTCATTTACAAAACATCCTCTCAAAGATGAAAGAACAGCACCCAAAAAGAAGAAGAAGTGAAAAAAAAAAAAAAAAAAAAAAAAAACGGGAAAAAAAGGGGGGGGGGGTCGGGGGGGGGTAGGACGAAACGAGAGAGCGCTAGTAAAGCTTCTCTTCTTGTCAT